TCAGCCTGCTTTCTTATAGAACCCAGAACCAGCAGCCCAGAGATGTCCCCACCCACAGTGGGCTGGCCCCGCCCCCATCAATCGCTAATTAAGAAAACACCCTACAGGTTTGCCTACAGTCCGTCTTCTGAAGACATTTTCTTAACTGAGGCTCCCTCCTCTCAGATGACTGTAGTTGGCGTGGAGTTAACATAAAGCTAGCTCAGGACAGAAGGGTATGAGGGAGGGAGGATGAACGAGGGAGGCTATTCCTGTCAGACTGTGACTAGGCAATAGGGAGACGTTTGTGTTTTCCAGCAAAACAACATGACTCAGTCTGTATCAGAAAGATTATTGTGGCAGCAACTAAGGTAAGGGAGGGGAGGGGAAAGGGGAAAGAGAGGATGGTGGGAAAAGATGGAGAGCAAAAGGGTCCAACAGTTAGGAGCTAACACGCAGGTCCGAGGGAAAGAGGTTAAGGATGCTATGAACACAGAAGTAATGAGAAGCATTGAGTAGGCATCTCACAGTCCGAATGGTTAAGACACGGGTGTGTGTACAGTGAGAAGACGCTGACCTGATTGGCGCTCTGCTTGACCAGGGTCCATCAGCAGAACAAAAGAGAAGCATATTTGTGGAAGGAAGAAAATGGATTTGGTTTGAGGCAGGAGATGGTGACGTTGCCCAGATGCCAACTGACAGCTTCTTCTTAGGCTAACAAAAGGCCCTATACAATACACGTTTTTAAAAGTTTGTTTGGGCTCACGATTTTTGAGTTTTCCGTCCACGTGGTTTGTTAACCCTATTGCTTTCAAATGTGTGGAAGAAGAGCTTGACCGAGTGCAGAGCTCTCTGCCTCCTTCATGGGAGTGATGAAAGAAAGGGAGAAAGAGACAAGCATCCCATGATCCTCTTTGAGAGCACACCTCCCATAACCTAAAACTCCCAATGGGCTTCACCCCTTAAAGAACCAAAGCTGAAGACCAAGACTTTAACACAGGGTCTTTTCAGCCTAACGCCAGCAGAAGTGTCTCGTAGGGACCTCAAAGTAAGAGCTAGAACTCAGGGGAGGAGTCAGGTCTAGATAGACTTGGCCATTATCTATCTGTATAGAACTGAAGGCAAAGCCATGGGACCTGTGATGGTTAATATTCAAGGTCTACTCGACTAGATGTAGAATCACCACAAAAATCCACCTCTGGGTGTGTCTATAAGGATATTACAGAGGTGGGAAGATTCACCCTAAATGTGGGTGGGACCGTACCATGTTTGTGCTTTTAGGCAGAGCAGAAACGAAGAGCCAAGCTGAGCGCTAGCCTTCATCGCCCCGCTTTCTGACTGGAGACCGTTGCCCTGTGCCTTTCCTGCTATGGTGGACCAGATCAGCAGCGGACACAGGCACACTGCCGATGCTGACAGAGGTGAAGAAGCTGGAGCAGAGAAACTGAGCAAAGGACAGACGAACAAAACTGGTGGGGAGCGGGGTGCCCAGCTGAGACCAGGAAACTACAAACTGAGGAAAGAGGCTGTTCAACGAACCGAAGAGAGAACGCCGAGAAAGTCTCCCGCCCCTGGTGCAGATGGAGCTCCAGGCTGCTCTAGCTTTACCGTGCTGGAAGGTTCCTCATTCAAGCCCGTCCTACCGCATTCCACTCCTAGAAGACTGCCTGGGACTGCTGGGTGACAGAGCCAAAAAAAGGAGAGGCACTTGGGAGAGTTCAGCTTCCTCCCTGGGTAAAGGTTCCCTTTCCTTGCCCTGGAATAAAGGACCGGAGAGCATCTTTAGGAACTCCCTCCCCCAAACCTTCCTAAAGAGCTGGTTTACAAACATCCAAAGCCTAACCTTGCTACTGATGAGCTTCTTGCCTCAAGCCTGTTCGTCCTAACAGCAGGCCTGCCAGGAGCTCCTCCCCCACAACATCTGCTCCCATTAACCACCTGGCCACCTTCAACCCTTGCCTTTCTTCAGCCCCCAGATCTTGGCACCAGCTAACCCACGTGCTAGGAACATCCTCATTCCTTTCAGTAGAGTTTCGATCGACTCCTCAAAATCCCGCTGAAGTCTAAGCCAGACTATGAAGCTTTCCTTTGTTTTCCGAGTGAGAATTTGACATCTGTTCCTTTCTGCCATCCTTTGACTGTGGATCTGGTCTGCGTTAATATTTTTAAAAACTATTTTTTTTTTGTACTAAAGAGGAACAGGCAGATTTTTCTAGAAAGTTAAAGTTCTGCCTCTGAGCATCACTCCTTAATTCATGCAACCAACCAACACTTATTGAGCATTATTTACCATGTGATGAACCCCGCTACAAGACAGAAATTTTGCACAAATAAAAGCACATAACAATAACACAACAACAACAACAAAAAGGCATTCATTCCATGGGTTAAGACATAGGCATGGGCCTCCTTCAAGGGTAGAAAATTTATATCTGAATTCATGCCACTGACTTGTAAGATAGACCTTATTAACTTCGCTACTTCTCTGTCTACCTTCCTAAGCAGAGGTTGCACTAGCTACTTCTCTTGTTGCTACAGCAAAGACAACGTAAGGGAGGGTTTGTTTGTCCTCACAGTTTGGGGGACAGTCCATCATGGTGGGCATGTCCCAGCAGTAGGAGCCTGGAGCAGTTGGTCCTGCTGCCTCAGCACTCAGGAAGTAGAGAGCAATAAACGTGGGTTCACCTCACCTTCTCCCTTTTTATTCAGTCTGGGACCTCAGGCCATGGGATGATGTCATACATATCTAAGGCTTGTCTTCCCAGCTCAGTTAACCCACTCTAGAAACTCCCTTCCAGCCCTGCCCAGAGGTTTGACTGCCTGGTGATCTAGATGTCAAGTTGATGATCAATATTAATTAATTACAGAAAAGAATGAACGAAATCTAAAAACAATTGTATTGGTTCATGGCATCATTTGAGGCATGCTGTTTCAAAAGAAGAACTTTGCTTACGTTGTAGAATAGAATATTTGTTTAACTTTGTAAAGATGTATTGCATTTGTTTAGGTTCCATTTGTTTAATTACATAAAGACGTGGTGCCTTCATTTCACCTTGCCTGCCTAAGGTAACTGATTGGTCTAATAAAGAGATGAACGGCCAATAGCTAAGCAGTAGAAGGATAGGTGGAGTTGGCAGGCAGAGAGGATAAGTCAGAGCAGAGAAGGAGGAAGAAGGAGATGCCAGGGGCCAGCCAGGCAGCCCCCAACCAGACATGAAGGAAGCAGGGAAGGAGGATGATAGAACAAAAGGTTAAAAAAAAAAAACCCTAGGCAAAACATGATGAAGGGAAACAGGTTAAAATAATTTTAAAATGCTGCCAAGAAGCAAGCCTAAGCCAACGCCGAGAATTCATAACTAATAATAAGTTTCTATGCCATGATTTGGCAACTGGTGGTCCAAGAAAGCCTGCTACATGATTATCCATTCCAAACACGATGGACGGTCCTATAAGAAATGTGCCAAGCACCCGCCGCCTGCGGTAATGCAGGATGAGAAGCACCAGGAGATGTGTGCCAGGGAGAGCAGCTTCAGGACACAGAGCAGAAGGGCTTTGATGGCTAGTAAGCCAGATGATGAGTCTGGAGTGGGATGAGACCAACTACATACAGATAAGGAGAGAATTTGAGCAATTGAGAACTAGAAACATCCAGAACTGGAAGGGGATAAGGAGAGAAAGGGGCAAGACATCTAGTTTTCAGTTCCATCTTCTGTTTAAATATGAAGACGATAAACTCTTACAGTTGTGCTTACTTCAAAAAATAAAATTAATAATAGAATAACTTTTATTTGTTCTGTTTTTACTTAGAAAACGCATACTCTCCTTATGAAAGGGGCACACATATTTTCCCATCCAGAAAGTAACCACTGCTAATGTTTGGGGATTTTTAAGTTGGTTGATTAATTGGTTAGTTGGTTAGCTGGCTAGTTGGTTGATTGGTTGGTTGGTTGATTGGTTGGTTGGTTGATTAGTTGTCTGTGACAGGACCTCCCAATGTAACCCTGGTTGTGTTAGAACTTACCATACAGATCAGACTGGCCTCGAACACATAGAGCTCTGCCTGCCTCTTCTTCAAGAACTAATTAAAGGTGTGCACCATCAGGCCTAACCAATGTTTTTGTATCTCTTTTTAGGCTTTTAAGGAAGTCATCTATACAGAATTCAAAAATGTCTCATATTAAACATGAAGTTCACAGCTTGATCTCTCACAGTTAATATCATAATACAACCTTTCTCTCAAGCAAGCATCTTTCAAGAACAATATCTATGAGACTTCTGTGCTTCCCACATGTCTCTACAGGTAGGGGAGACATTTTAGGCCCAGGTTGGGGAGCAGAGCTCACACCATCCTCTGCTGCAATCTCAGGAGCTGGAAAGAGCTGACGCTGTGAGATGCTTTGGATCAATAAATGAGAGTTGGAGACACCCTTTTGTTTCATTTGTGTTGGTGGGTTTTGGTTTTGGTTTTAGATTTATTTGTGTGTATAAGTGTTTTGCCTATGTGTGTGTATGTGCACTGTGTGTATGAATGGTGGCCATGGAGTTTGGAAGAGAGCACCAGATGCCCTGGAAATGGAGCTGGTGATGGCGGTGCGTCACCACGAGGACGCTGGGAACTGAACCCAGGTCCTCTTCAAGAACGAGTGATCTTATGCACTGAGACATCTCCTCAGTCCTGTACTTGCATTGTTCTGAGACAGGATTTCCCATGTCTCAGTCGGGCCTCAGGCTCACTATGCAGACAGAGTTGCCTTTGAACTCTTCACCCTCCTGTCTTCACCTCCCAAGTACTAGAAGGTGAAATTGGAATAGAACAAACAGAATACATGGACTGAGCTAAGTGTGGATATAATCCCAATACTTAGAGGCTTGATGGGGGAAGGACATTGGTTAATTATAATAAAGAAACTGCCTCGGCCCTCATAGGACAGAAAATTAGGTAGGCAGAGTAGACAGAAGAGAATTCTGGGAGAAAGAAGCTTAGTCGAGGAGTCGCCATGATGCTCCCACGCCAGACAGATGCAGGTTAAGATCCTCCCTGGTAAGCCAGCTCGTGGGCTACGCAGAATATTAGAAATGGGTTAGAACAATATGTAAGAGCTAGCCAATAAGAAACTGGAACTAGCCGGGCCAGGCAGTGTTTGAAAGAATACAGTTTCCATGTAATTATTTCGGGCATAAGCTAGCCATGCGGGCGGCCAGGTGCCGGGGACGCAGCCTCGCCGCTCCTATTGCAACAGAGGCTGAGGCAGGAGGATCTTGGCTTTGAAGCCAGACTGTCTCAAAACTGTATGTGTGTGTGTGTGTGTTTATATAAACACATGTTTATACACACGTTTATACAGACACACTTGTGTGCCCAAATGAGTTACAGAATCATAGCTGAAAGCCTCCAGCTTTTCTGTATAGCTAGCTGGTATCCTGAACATTTCCAGTGTCTCCATCCCTGTGAAATGTCACATATTCTTTTTGTTTGTTTGTTTGTTTTTTGAGACAGGGTTTCTCTGTGGCTTTGGAGCCTGTCCTGGAACTAGCTCTGTAGACCAGGCTGGCCTCGAACTCACAGAGATCCGCCTGCCTCTGCCTCCCGAGTGCTGGGATTAAAGGAGTGCGCCACCATCGCCCGGCTTGTCTTGAATAACACATGCATATGCTTACAGACACACCTAAGCTTCAAGCGGAGAGTACAAACTAGACTGCCTCTCCTCCGCTCCAGCCTCCATCAAGTTGAGAGTTTAAGTGACTCAAGAGCAGGTGTTGTCTCTCTGCCTTGTCACTGCGTGGCATCTTGAGGACTATGTTCTCAGTAAGTAGTCACTGCCCATTAACATTCCTGCTGCTGCTGGTTCTCCTGGAGCCGGCTAATGGGCCACAGAACAACCACAGCTCCTAAGTGACAAGGCACTTCTTATCCAAGTGGTGCCTGGGGTCCCTCTCCAAGACACCAAGTAAGAGCTCTTCCCAATTAAAATGTTCCAGATGAAGACCATGACGCATTCCCCAGGGAGGGCAGTAGCTGCTCAGGAGCTAAAAGCAAAGCACTTGCCTCCCCGTTTCCCACTCTACTGCCCTTTAAATGGGAAAACAATTATTTTCATCATCCCCAGCAGGAAGTTGCCCGGAGCCAAAACAGGTTCTCTGGGCATCCTTGAGGGAGCCGGACCAGGGGGGAGAGCTGGGCCCAGTAGTTCCTGCCTGATGCAATCTGAGCACATTCCCCAGTAGACACGCTCCTGGCGTCTTAGCTCAAGACAATAAATTAAAAAGTTGAGGAAAACAACCCAAAGCCTTGCTCTTTTTCAGATTCAGAAATGAGAGACGGACTGAGCCCGTGATAGCCCAGCTCAACATCCGGGAACCAACAAGGCACCCATGGGCGCATGGATTCCACTCCGGAAGACCCAAGCCTTTTGTGGGCGCCCTGCCATGAGCGCACAGGGCAAACCAAAGCAGTTCTTGCCCTCTGCCTTGTCTTTTGTTGAGGTTTAAAGCCTCCTGTAAAAGGCTTTTTCCCCTCTGACATCAGAATCCTTCGCAGAGACTCTCGAACAGCGTGTTTAATTAGCAGAGCTCGGAATCCAACCTCAGCTGTGCTTTGCCTCGGCGTACAATGGGGACCCTTGAAAACTCATTACAAAGAAATTACTTAGAATGACTATGTGCTCCTGCGAGCTCACTTTGATCTTAAACAAAATCTATCACTTGACACATCTGAGGGGATAGACCTGTTGTTGGAGAAGAGAATGGTTTTTTTAAAAAAAAAAATAATAATTAGACAAGTAACAGGTTATACAAAAGTCTGGAAGAATCTCAAGTGTCGTCGCATCAAATCTCACCCGTGGCTCCCTGCTCTGTGCGGAGCATCCTGGGAATGCTTTGTTTGGGAAATGAACAAATTCTTTGGCCAGTTTCTTTCTTGTGACTTCTCTGTTTCTGATGTCCTCCTTCCCTGCGTTTGTGAGTGTCCTATCCTGTAACTGCCCCTGATGCTCATGGCACCTTTCTCTCTAGATTCCTTTCCTAGTGCTCTGGATAGATACTCTCCCACTGTCCTGCTCACAGGTGAGTCCCTGCATGGCACTCCCTAGGCTCTGTGCCTGGCCTTGCCTCAAATTCCCTCTTGGAAACTTTAAACATCTCTCATTGATGTCAGAGACGTAAGACGGTCCTAGCCCATGGCAGCTCACACACTCCAATGAGTTAATCTTTGGCGAGATAGTCCCCAAATGTATGTCTCTAGTCCTGGACTATATTCTGTTGATGGTTCTTGTAGATTGGCTGTGTGTGGAACCCTCGAACTCGCCATATACAAAGCAAAGTACATCAGCCCTATTAAATCTTCCTTCTGTGCCTCATTGTTCAGTAAGCGTCTTCATCCACCCATCATTCAAGCAGTGAATTTGAGTTCATGCTCAGATCCTTCTGTTTGCTTATTATATACAATTGGTCAACATCTGTCTCCATCAAGAATTGGGTTTGGCTCTAGACAGAATCATGGGGGGTGGGGGGGATACTGTGTCTTACCTAGTATAAAGTTTGGGAGGTAGCTGTCCGAGGTTGGCTGCCGGGCTCACCATACACTCAGTCCCTGTATTCCTGCCCTGCTTCTCTGCCATGTTTTCCAAAGGCTTTCACTGTTTAGAGCACATCACAGAGATACGATGGCAGTTTCAGATTTCCAAGAACAAAAAAAAAAAAAAGAGGCGAGGCCACGAGGGCATCTCCATCTTAGCAAGCCTCCCTCAAGAGTCCTCCCTGAGCACCTACCATCATTTAGCTCAGATCTCATTAGTAATCCTTCTCACGGGGGCTACAGAAATTTAAACCTTCAGGTGCTCCCTTCGCTCCTCCCAACAACATACAAGCCCTGCTCATTGACAGAAACAATGGGCCAGCTAACTGGAAGGCAAGACAGCGGTCAGTGCCATTCATTCTGCTTCCTTAATATCTGTCAGATTCAGCCTCCCAGCATGCCCAGTTCAGACTCTTTGCATTGCTGCTCAGTTGCATCCCAATCAGACCAACTGCCCATCACTCCTGCTGCTCCTAACTCACTATGACTCCATAGTATCTTTCCTTAAATACGTATCTAGTCTGGTCAATCCAACCTTAAATCTTTCAGAGGTTCCCCTATAGCTTTAAAGAGAGAGAGAGAGAGAGAGAGAGAGAGAGAGAGAGAGAGAGAGAGAGAGAGAGAGAAAGAGAGAAGCTGCACTGCGTGGTTTCTAAGTCCTTGCATTCCGCCTCAGAGCACTTCTGGGCCGCCCTTCTCCTCGCTTCCCCCGGAGCTCTGTGCGCTCCAATCATTTTTCACATGGCGTATCGGTTTGTTCAGGCTGCCCCGGCTTTGGAAATGCTGCTGGCTCCGGTTCCATCAGTCGCCCAGACATTTTCATATGTGATCAATGATTAGAGACTCGAGGAAGGGCCCCCACAGCAAGGCCACCTGTTCACGTGGTGAAAACAGTTAGCAAAATATGCTCTTTGTTACACATGTATAAATATCACTCTCTAAAACATAGCAAGCCTGCTTCCTCTTTCTCTAGGACCAAGCGCTTAGGAGAGACTAGACTCTGCCACCCGAGAATACATAAGATTGTTGAACGGAGGCTAGGAAAATGGCTGTCGGTAACATGCTTGCCTTGTGAGCGAGCATGAGGACCAGAATTTGGTCCCCCAGAACTCAATTTCTTTAGAAAATGCACACATGGTGCTGCGTGCTTGCAATTCTAGAGTTGGATAGAAAGATAGGCAGATCTCTGGGCTCACTGGCCAAGCTGCTGGGCCTACCTGGCAAGTTCCAACCCAAGGAGATATTGAAGACAAGACAGTTGTGTCGGGGTCCAGCCTCGACAGGGTTCACATGTTCCAGGGTAGGGGTGTGTGGATTAGAAATTGTAGGCAGAAGGAACAGAGATACGGAGACACAGAATAGAATGGGGGGGGGAGGTAATTCCATGAACTGAAAGCAATTCATGAAAAGACACACAAAAATTCTCTGCTCTCCCTCTATTTGCCTCAAACCAAAAGGCTTCTGGGAGCCCTTTTATTTTAGGGAGAACAAAGCTGGGCCACTGGAGTCTACTCTGAACTCTTATCAGCCTGGAGAGGGTACCAGAAGTCTACATTAACAAGTGCCGCTAACCAGCCTTTACCTGGTAGACTTCTGGTTTCCCTGTCCAGCTCTTTTCCTTTATCTCATTGCCTCTCTGAAAATGTGCTGTTTGTTTTTTTTTTCTTTTTTTAATTGAAAATGGTACATAAGATACTCGAGAAATTGCTGAGTCCCCAGGTGTCAGCCATATGTATGTGTGAAATGTACACATTAAGACATATCAGGAGGTGTCACACAAACATGAGAACCTGAATCTGATCCCAAAACTCATATTTAAAAAGCTGAGTATAGTAGTGCAAGCTATAGTCTCAATGATGGGGACACAAAGACAAGTGGAACCTGGCCAGCCAAATAGGTCAACTCCAGGTTCATTGAGAGACTATCTCAAAAAATAAGGTAGAGAGTGGCTGAGCAAGACACCTGGCATATTACTTTGGCCTTTGTATTTACACACATACACACACACACATTTTAGAATGTTAAGATGTGTTACATTTATTTATGCTCTGGAACATTTCTTTAATGATACAAAGATGTGCTTCATTCTTTTATGCTACTTTTAACTCTGTGAAGCTGTGATTCTTTGCTTGTCCAAAACACCTGATTGGTCTGATAAAGAGCCGAACAGCCAATAGCTAGGCAGGAGGAAGGATAGGCAGGGCTGGCAGATAGAGAGAATAAATAGGAAGAGAAATCTGGGAGGAAAGGATGGAGGGACAAAAGGAGGAGAGGAGGACTCTAGGGGCCAGCTACCCAGCTATACAGCAAGTCACAGGCAAGAAGGAAAGAAAAGATATAGAGAAATAGTAAAAGGTGAAAGTCCAGAGGCAAAAGGTAGATGAGATAATTTAAGAAAAGCTGGTTAAAAATAAGCCAAGCTAAAGCCAGGCATTCATAAGAAAGACTAAGCCTGTGTGTATATTTATTTAGGAGTTGGGTGGTGGGTCCCCCAAAGAGCCAAAGAGAAAAAAAAAGTACATACACACACACACACACACGCACACACACACACACGGTGCACACGCACACAAAGTCTGTTTCTTAATAAGCAGATTTTACTACAAGCGTCCACTCCAGCTCACAAGGATGAAGGCAAATATGTTTCTTTTTATTTTTTTTCGAGACAGGGTTTCTCTGTGGCTTTGGAGCCTGTCCTGGAACTAGCTCTTGTAGACCAGGCTGGCCTCAAACTCACAGAGATCTGCCTGTCTTTGCCTCCTTAGTGCTGGGGTTAAAGGCGTGCGCCACCACCGCCCGGCTGGCAAATATGTTTCTTACACAACCAAAGAAGAAAGATGTGGGCAAGTTCTCCCGCAGTCTCATTAGTCCAAGGAGCCCAAGCTTCCTGACATCTGAGAGGAGAAAGGGGAAGAAGTGGCTTCTCACTGGGGGGGATCCATCTTGTCCACCAGTGTCAGCTCTACGTGGGTAAACGCAGGCCAAAGAAAAGTGAAGAACATTGAAAGAGATAAAGATAATGAAAGAGGAGCCGCATCTTCTTCAAAGTCTACCCCAGGCCTAGATCCAGTCCTGAGATGAGAGGCTCGTGAGCAGAACAGAAGGAACCAAGAAGGCAGGTCAAAGCCTAACAGGATGAAACATTCCTTGCTTTTCTCTTATAGTTTTGGTTATGAGCCTAGCCTTTAACGGCTGAGCCATCTTTCCATCCCTCTTTGCTTTTCTCAAAACTGGTCTACTTCTGTAAAGACACAGGAGTGAAAGCAATTGAGAATCACCACTGGGTAGACAAGGATGAAGATAACACAAAGTGACATGCTCACAGTACCCTGAGCACAGACCCTCTGGCGACAGGAGACACTTGGGGACAGGGGGCCTCTGAGTCTATTTTGCCATCTGTCCAACAGCTCCTTCCTGGGAGCCTTGCATGGATCTCATGTGCCTGCTCAGCATTGTCCCCTCACTGCAATTCAATCCTCCAGGCAGGGAATGGCCTCTCGGCACCTCCCCGCCTACCCCCAGCACCTCACCCTACACTAACACTTAACTTACGTCACCAGGAACAAGGTGGTAAATGAGTCAAGTGTCCTGGAGAGAGAAATCTAATGATCACCAAGGCTGCCCAGTCAAAGAGACTGCTAAGAACACACTTCAGCTGTCTGCCAATTTATGGTACCGGTGCTCTGTGGGAACATTCTTTTTAGAGATGCTGGCGGGGCGGAGAACCAAACCTTTAGGGATTTTTTTTTCTGGTGACATTTCCCCTTATTGCTTCTCCACTCCATAGTCTTAAAAGAAAAGGAAAAAAAAATCCCACATTTTAACCTCAAAGGATGACAGAGAAATAGAGGACAGGTCAGTAAACTTCCGAAAGTACCCATTGCACCCTAAAGCAAAATTGTGTGTGTGTGTGTGTGGTGTGTGTGTGTGTGTGTGTGTGTGTGTGTGTGTGACAAAGAGTAGAGAAATGATGGAAGGAAAATAAATTCAGAAATTGAAGAAAAAGGAGCCTGAATCGCCAGCTTCAGTGGCCTGAACTCGCCCTGATAGGTGCATGGCCTTTGCAGCCCCAGACTGCAAGCATCTTCTGGGGTACCTGCAACTGGTCACCAAGACAAGAACATTTCAGTATATTTAAGGATGAGGGGCATCCTCAAAACACCACTCATCGTAGCCCATAGGTGAACAGGGGCAGCCCCTGGGTACCAGTTCTGAGCTCTATTTAACAGCTTGAGACCAGCCAGCTCCAACTGGCCACACACACGGATGGCACGATGTCTTCGCATCTTTCCGCCTGCTCGCTTTAGATCTATCACTTTAGAATAACACGGTGGGGGAGTCCAGGACCCCAGAGAACACTTGGGGACTATTATGCCACAGTGGGGAAGTATGCCCATAATCACCCATTCCTGGGTTCATGACTGAGACCCACACATCCACAGGCAGATTAATAAGGGAAATGCAGGGTTGCATGTGAAGGCATTCGCCTCTGATTCCAGGGCTCAGGAGTCGGGGCAGAGGATCACCAGGGCATTTCAGGACTGTTTGGGCTACATAGAAAGGCAAATGTGAGAAAGAGGGAGGGGAAAAGGTAAAGAGACAGGAGGAAGAAAAAGAGAAGAAGAAAGAGAGAGAAGAGAGAGATTGGTTTAAGTGCTGGGTGACATGGGAGCCAAATAAATGAAGACTCAGAGAAAGAGGTAAGCATGTATTTTATTTTAATTTTTTAATAATTACATTTAATACTTACAGCTGACCTTCAGGTCACACCTGCCTTTAATCACAGTTCTCCATGGCAAACTCAAGTTAATAAACAGGGGTAACTTAACAAGGTTAAGTTCGGACCCTCACTATGTCCCTTTGTATCCTGACACAAGGCTGTTCCCTCCCTCACCTATGGACACCCCCCTGAGGGTCTGTTCATCTGCCTCAGAGGGGAGGTCAGAGAATCCTTCCTAAGTCTAGGTGCTGTTTGAGGCAAGGAGGGGAAAGGTGAGGGTGGCCTTCTGCTGTTTCTCACATATCTTAGTGTGTCCTTAACGCCAAAATTATTTAGCACACAGCCAGCTCCCCTGGTAATGCTTTAACTGTAGCAATGTTTCTATTCCTCCAAGGATAAGTCTTCCCACACAAGTTGCTACCTAGAGGCTCTTCGCTTACCAGTGAGGACTTAGATCAGTCTTCATCCATCTCCGGATATGTCAAGATCATCAATGAAACTAAACTGTAAAAGACTTGGAGTCGGGTCCAGGGCAGTCTGAGACAGAGTTAATTATGCGTGCCTCCAACAGCAATTTTGGAATAAGACCAGATGTAAATCAATGAAATGCTATAGATCTTTAACTCATTTCTCCCTCCCACAAGCTCCTGCTCAGAGACGACTGTTTAAGAAAAGGTCTCCAGATATCACACACCTTCAAGAGAAAACTGCAAAGGTGAAGTTTTACACCAGGGTGTTGGTTAACTTCCTAGTTCTACGTTTGTCTGTTACACACTTTGAACTCCTAAAGACTGAAAAAGTCAAAGGCTACTACACCAGGGTCTGCCTGAGTCTGTCCTGATGTTGAGGCACTCATAGGAGGCCTCCCTTTCTTCCCAACTAAAAGGTTGGGCAGGTAGGACTTGGAAGATGAACCAGCCAACAAGTGTTTGCCTCACAAATGTAAGGACCTGAGTTCAGATCTCCAGTGTCCATGTAAAAAGCTAGATGCAGGCATGTGTGCCCACAATTCCAGTACTAAGAGGTGGAGACAGACTGCTGGCCAGCAGGTCTAACCAATCAGTAAGCTCTGGGATCAGTGAGAGAGCCTGTCTGGAAAAATAAAGAGGAACACTTTCAACCTTGACCTTTGTCCTACACACACACACACACACACACACACACACACACACACACTTAAACAGTAAAAATAGCGGTTCAGTGGGGTGAGGAGCACGATAAAGAAAGAAGCTTGCATCTTGGTTGGAACAGATTCCCATAAAAAAGACTGAAGAAGCAGAGAAACTAAACCCAGGTTGGTGTCATGATAAATAGCATCTTTGCCATCGGCGTGGCGAGCTCTCAGTGGATGAGGAGCCAGCTCTGGATCAGGTTGACTTGAGCTTCAGCTGCTGCAGCATCTTCAAGCAAGGGCAGCTGTGACAACAAAAAGGACAATCACAACTTGAAGCTAGGCAAAGGAGCGGCGGTGATGTAGATCTCGCTAGTACCACCTCCAAGCCCCAGAGATGCACAGTCGCCTTCAGTGGGTGGGAGATCTGAGGACGGGAGACCTGTTGCTTTCAGGCAAATAGAAGAAGGGCCTCAACTCAGGAACCCTTCTTGTTTCGGTGGTCTACCCTAGTCTACCATAACAGTGACTCAGAGACCTATAGAACAACTTCCCTCCCCTTGGCCATCTCAGACAATGACCGATTTTTTTGACTGTACTGTGTTCTCTGGAAAGAGGACCATCTACTCATTAAGGTGTTCACCTGTGGCTTTACCGACGGTTTGAGAGCAGGGAGGACAGGGGGGAAGCGAGGAATTACGCCAATCCCACGTTTTCCTTGGTTTTCTTCTGAAATGGCGGGAAGGAGAGCCGATATCCACCAGTGAATCAAGCATGGTGTCCACACCATTCCAAGCGTTTTACATATCAATTTGTTTTCTAGTGTGTGTTTCATAGCCTTCCCCGGGGAGCCATTTATTAATACTTCAGTCACCACAGAGAATACAAACGAAGCAGGCAAAAGTTGCCATGCCTGATGCAACTTCTTTTAGGGTTGAACCAAGCGCTGATGCAAAACTCCAGGGAGGCTCCAGAGCTTTAACCACTGAGGGAGACTGAGCCAGGGAAGGCTGAGCTAAGGGAGAAATTTCCTTTTGGTCATGAGTCTTTTACCTTTGCTTTGAAATCCCCAGACCTTTCTTTCTCCTAGCTTTGTGCTAATTACCACACTTAAGTTAGAAAACCAAAGTAGTGGAGAAGGGGGGTGACTTTTGTGCTGCTGGCTTTTGTGCTGGGACACTGGAGCTAAGAAAAGGCTGTCTGAGGGAAGCCATCACAAGGCATCTGTTGCGCCCCTGCATCCTTCTCTCCATGGCAGGTACCTTCTTTGGGTGGAGCCAGCAAGGGATGGTGGAAAAATAGTCTGAGACCATTATCTGGAGTAAGAGTCTAAGGTCTTTGGAAATTTCTAGAGGTAGCTTGCTTGTTTTTGTTTTGCACAATCCACTGAGAAGTATTAGGGCAGTCTTGTCCCCCTGGCTTGACTCAGAGAAGTTAGTAAATACTTAAGAGAAGACGGGAGAACAATCAAACCGCACCAATGTTTTTCATAAAAGACACCCCCTCACCCCTTGTTGGGCAACAGTGATTCTGATGAAAAAAAAAAAAAAGATTGAGGTGCAGAGAAGCTGTTCAAAAAGGTCATCACATCCTCGCCATCCCCAGCCTTCCCTGTGAGAGAGAACGGCAGAAAACACTCAGAGTGAGTATTGCTTTCACTCAGCCACATCTCGGGAAACCTTGAGACTGACGCGGACCGAGCACGGAAAGTTCCAGGCATAGGGTTTGTTTTCACAGAAAACCAGATCTACAGGCTAAGTAATGAAGTGCTGGGCCCCAAAACATACCACCTCCCCGGAAAGCCCCTGAAACTCAGGCAGAATTCTTTCTTGATTCACCTGTGGTCTGTTACCAGAACTTGAAGCCATCGAATACTTCCAAGCAATAACCTCACAGGAATGGCCCAGGGACTACTTCTCGAGCTAACACTGACAAACATGCAGGTATCCAGGAAAGAGAAAGCAATGCAAGTTATTTGTTAGGTCAGGTGAGTAACAGAGACTCCATCGTTGCTGTTGCTTCCATGAACCTAGCAGTCACATGTTCATCTCATTTTCCTCTTCGAAGTAAATTCCAACTTTTATTTCTGTGGTATCCAGTCTCCTGAGGTGTCATGAAAGCTTAGGTGGAGAAAATCTAGTTGAGATTAATTTTTTTTTAAACTTGTCTTCTAAATGGAAGCCACAGTGACCAAGAACTGAAGACCAAATGGAGACTCATTTCTAAATGATCTCCTCTCAGTGTGAACCCAGAGCACTGGATCCCAGCCTCTTTGATGGGACTACAGGCCTGGACCACTTCTGCATCCCTTCACTGACCACAGTCATCCTGAACAGGGAATGGGGATGGGGTGCTGGGATATTTGGCTTCAACATTAAACCACAATGGTTTGGACCAGAGAAGTGGGTTAGCTGGTAGAGGTGCTTGTCACCAAACCTGAGCACCAAAGTTCAATCCTCAGCACCCACATAATGGAGGAGAAAACTGACTCCCACAAACTGTCCTCTGACTTACACATACACATATACTTTAGGATGCATACAGAAAGAAAGAGAGAGGAGAGAGATGCAAGAGAGAGAGAAAACATTTTTTTAAAAATTTGTATTGTAAAAGAGAAATGGAAGCCCATCTACAGAAATGGGACAGAAGGCCCCAGTGAGGTGGCCATTTGGAAAAGGACAAACTAGGAAGCTGAGAAGAATCTCTTGTTGACCCTTCACATGTTCTTTCTCACACATTTCTTCTTCAAGGTTTCTCAAGGTAGAGCTAAATGAACAAAGAAATAAAGAAATAATGACAAGCGTAACACCATCACTTTCATCATGTAGAGGCCTCCCCGTGGTACCTTCTCCTCCTGTGGAGCACTCCCATCACATAGGGATATCAGACGGTACCTTCTCCTGTGGAACACCCTTCCCACGTGAAGTACCTCCCCCATCTAGTATAATATCCTCTCCTCACATGGGGGGGTGGGGTCCCGTCATGCAGCGCCCTTACTTCATGGAGCACTTTGTCCTTCCATGGAGCACTCCCTTCATGTAATGTCCTCCCTCTCTGTGATGACTTCCCCTCACATGGCCCCCTCCCCTCCGAATATTGTGTCCTCTCCTCATGCGATGCTTTCTCCTCTGGGCAAGCCTCATATCATGCCCGCACTCACAGTACCCTCAGCTGCAGTGGGACCCTCCCCTCAACTGGGGATAAAATCCTTATAGCGCGGTCCCCGTCAAATTAGACATTTAGAACAGTCGTGTTGTCTTCTTTGAGAATGTAGATAGGAAGGAAACAGACCATAGTCATTCTTTGATAGGCTGTGTAATTTTTTTAAACTACAAATCAGGGCTTTGGAGGCCTGGGAGGAGATAAACAGAATCTCGGCACAAGGGCCGCAGGATGTGTGAGTCATCCCAAGCCTGCCGCTGGAAGGCTCTGAGCAGCTTAAGATTTGTGCTAGGTGTTTCCTCCTACATTCAACCTCATATTTCCATGACTAGCCCTTCCTCCTTTTTATTTCTCTCCATATACTGCACTTGTTGGTCTATAAATAATGTTATTATGTGCTGGGCTTTTAAATGTCGGCATCCTGTGCCCAGCTCTACAGCGTGACATATGGTCCACTTTCCTGACATTGAACAGAGGTTCTAAATGGTGATGTTTTCCTAACCCTGGGAGTGAAAGGTGAAACCATGTTAGAATGTTCTTGGGTCAAAGTTTATTCTAGGTGTCCCTTAGCTGTGCAGTCCTTGGGACTTCTGTAGTAGAAAGGTTTGATACTTCTTCCCCCCATAAAGTCACAACCAGCAATGCTGGGGATGGCTTAGTGGTTAAGGACACCGGCTGCTCTCCCAGAGAACCGGGATTCAATTCCCAGCACCCTCACGGCAGCTCACAGTTCACAACTTTCTGAAGCTCCAATTCCAGGGGATTCCACACCCTCACAGACACATATGCAAGCAAAACATCAATGCACATTAAAAAGTCATAGCAGAATCTTTGTCACCTTTGGGGGTGGGACACAGCTCCCAGTAATTAAAGGCATGGTGACACACACCTTTAATCCAAGCACTCAAATTTGGGAGTCAGAAGCAGGAGAAACTCTGAGTCCAAAGCCAGCCTGGTCTACATAGTAAGTTCTAAGCCACCCAGGGTTACACAGTCATGACTCTCCAAACAATAACAAAAAAAGAAAGGCTAACAAGAGAAATGTAGACCCAATTTAATTCATCTAAATTTTATGTGATTTCAGAAGATTCAAGGAAAATGTTTTAAAGCATGGACGACAGTGTAGAGACATAACAGGACAAAAGCTCGGGCATCCTGATGGCAGACTCGAGGGGCCCCACACAACCTCCTCATGGTCTGTCCTTCCAGGTATGCAGCAGTAACCTTCCCCAATGAGACTTTTGACCCTCCTCCAGCCAAGGTAGATCAGCATTCTCGCTGCCATCTTCAAGACTAGGAGATGGGGACACTAGCATGGCCTCCTTGTTTCTGAGGTCTCTAGGTCTCGTTCAATCTAAAGAACCTTGGGGGCAACATTTTCTGAACCCTGACACCTTTAGACTAAAAGAATGTTCTGAGTGAGTGAGAGGGAGAGAGACAGAGAGGTGGGGGGGGGGGGGCTGCTAAGAAGTATTAGTCTGTAACACAAAGAAGCAAGAATGGAGTCAGGCATGTTGACACACACCTGTAATGCCAGCACTGCACCCTGGGGATAGAGGCAAGAAAAAAATAGGAGAAGGAAGAGGAGGGGAAGAGAAGTTCTAAGGAGCGAGGAGGAGGGGGGAGCAGGAAGGAGCAGGGAGGAGTGAGGAGGAGCAGGGAGGAGAAGAGAGAGGGAGAATTTTCACCTGTCTTCTTTAAAATTACTGTTTCTAGCCCCTACCTGTCTAATTGTCAATCATTCTGGCCTCTGTCCCACCCCCAAAGTACTGTGAAGTGTGGGTTATAGAAAAGCAAGCAGACAGAAGGAAGGAGCCAAGGGGCTGAGCTATGGAAGGCCAGTGTTCCCCTCTTCCCTGCCTCTGTGGTCTCTTTGTCTCCAGCCCACCCATGGGCCCCTGATCCCCTAAGTTGCAAGCAGCTTGCCACAATCCTCAGAAGGCACTGGGCACAAGAGGGGCTGTCATGGAGGAAAATCCTTCCTCTGTCCTCAGGTTCAATAATCGGGGTGGGCAAATTCAACTGGCAAAAGATAGATTAGCCCAGAGGAGTAGGGGAACTGATTTAATTAGGTATAAATGTGCCGGAATTCACAAAGAACTGTGTCTCAGGGGGATAGTTAGAATCTGGGTTTATTTACCAT